AACACCCTGTGGCCTGGCAAAGCTGATCAAATTTACTGGAAGCTTCACAGTAAGGGAACTTTCTCAGTATCTAGTACATATTCCTTCCTTTGTCAACAAAAGCTGTATCATCTAGACATCCCAGGTTGCAGCTCCCTCAATGGTCAATCATTAAGCAAGGCCACTCAGAGGTTATGGAAGTTGAAGGTAGAGAACAAAGTCAAAATCTTTATCTGGAAGTGTATAGCCAATTCACTGCCTGTGAAGACCAACCTTAGAAAGAGGGGTATGGACATAGATGTTATCTGCCACTTTTGTGGGGCTGCTGCTGAAACTGCTAACCATGTTCTCTTCCACTGCCCAAGAGCAACCAGTGCATGGCAATACTCTCCAGTCTCATGGGACTCAAATCATATGGTGGACTCATCTTTTAGCTGCTGGTGGAAGTTTATATGCTCGGTTGGGAAGAACAGCCATCTAGTTGGACCAAAGCCATGAGCAGTTTTGAGTCTTGCTGGCTTCAAAGATGGAAGTGTTGGGATAATATTTTTGCTTCAAGATCCTGCTGACCAACAGAGATGGTTGAGTGGTAATTCTCCAAATCTGCTTGCATATTAAAGCAATATTAAAGAGTCGCAGATCAAGGAAGCCAGGCCTCCATTAGCTTTTGGTAGAGTAAGAGTATTCCAAGAGGTCCAGTGAATTCCTTTGTAGTTATCCTCCTTTGTACTCCACCAGAATTGAGAGCAGATTGAATTGATTGCTGAGCACAGTGTTTTAGGAATTCTGAAGCATGACATGGTGAAGACTGGAAGTGCTTGTAGAACTGTTTTGAGAAGCACAGCTTTACCAGCTTGAGTAAGCAATTTTGATTTCCAGTTAAGCAGCTTAGCAGAAACAGCATCCAGAATATATTTGAAGGTATCTACCTTAGATCTTCCAATACCTAGAGGGAGGCCCAGGTATTTTGTAGATCTATGAGCAGTAATGCCATTCAGATTAGCACAGATGCTTGCTTTTAAGTGGTCTGGTGTGCTCCTACTAAAGAAGATTATGGATTTACTCAGATTTACAGCTTGCCCAGTAAAGAGTTTGTATTTCTCCAGGAGGTTTAGAAGGGATTGAGACTGATCAAGGCCTGCTTTGCAAAAGAATAAAGAGTCATCTGCAAATAGCAGATGAGAAATTGCAGGCCCATTTTTGGAGATTTTCAGTCCTGTCAGAGATCCAGTGGCAGTAGCTTGTGACACCAAAGCAGACAACATTTCAGTGACAATTATAAAAAGATATGGGGATAATGGATCCCCCTGTCTTATGCCTCTGGTGGGGAGCACATACCCACTGATTGTGCCATTTATTTTAAAGGAGAAGGAGCAGGAAGTGATGCATAGCATAATGAGGTTAACAAAAGTATGATGAAATCCCATCTGCAGCATTATCTTTTTAATACAGAGCCATTCCACTCTGTCAAAGGCTTTGATTAAGTCTAGCTTAAGAGCCATAAAAAAAATTGTTCCCAGAGTTGTGTCTGTTTAAGAAAGGAAAGGCTTCTTGACCAATAATGACATTGTCCATAAGTTGTCTACCCTTAATGAAGGCTAACTGAGAGTCACTTATACAGTTAGGTAAACAAGATTGAAGTCTGAAGGCCAACAGTTTTGAAAGAATTTTATACACCACTGAACAAAGACTAATTGGTCTGAATTGAGACATACTCTGGGTTGAGACATTTTGGAATGAGAGTAATTATAGTATGGTTCCAGTATTTAAGAAGTGCCCCTTGATCAGTGAAAAATCTGGAAATAGCTAGAACCAAATTAGATTTAATAATATCCCAGAAAGATTGATAAAACTGAGCAGTCATACCATCCTCTCCTGGGGATTTATCAGAGGGAAGGTTGAATAGGGCTGCCTTGATTTCTTCTTCTGTAACTAAACACTAATCCCGATTTTTCAACAATTATTCAACGTAACTAAACACTAATCCCGATAGATACAAATCAATATTAAAAATCATCTCAACCCAATATTGTGATATATACTACCTATCCAAATTCCAATGAATGTGTTATATTTTATTAAGAGATACAGTATCAAATACAAAATAATAATAATAATAATAATAATAATAATAATAATAATAATAATAATAATAATAATAATAATATTAAAATACG